CAAAAAAAAAAAAAAAAAAAAAAAAAAACGTAACAGTTTGAGATTAAAGAAGCATTGTAGGAATGTATCCATCTTTCTGCTGTAAGATTATTTGTGAGGCATGAATAAAATTTTCATCACTGTTTACAATTAAGAGCTATGAAAAACATTATAACCATATTTTATTACTGTGTTTTGTTAAAGATACTTACAATGACGATTTCATATAAACATATCAACCATTGTCTGTAAAGTGTCTTGTACTGTGGTGGGTAAATAAATAATATCTAAAAACAACAATCATCTTGCCATCACTCCTTGGATATGTGTGTCTCTACTCTTTACTTACGTTTACCAGAGGTAAAAGTAACTACCAATGCAAAGTAATAATGCTAGACTGTCACATCTAAACACAGAGCTTCATAAGTAGCTGGTTACCAAAATTACAGGCTCTTTCTGACATTGTTTGAACTCTAAGGTTGTGTATATGTTTTTATAGTGCTGATAATGAGTGAAATGATATATAAGCAAACTCTTTGACATTTTCCAATTAAGACTTTGAACAAGTGACACTGGCTAATATGTCAATAAGTTCTCTCTAGGACTGGCTATAATTCAACATACTCTGTAAAATAGTTGATTTACAAAAAATATATTCATATCTCTTTGCCATAGATGTTCTCAGTGAAAAACTGTGCAATTTTTTAAAAGAAAGTCTTTATGAAGAAAATTAAATAAAAAAAATAATACTTACCCAGTTGCCATTTTGAAAGATTGATGAAGAATTATATTTAAGATGAACAGTAGAAGATAATAGCCAAAATAAAAATGATACTGAATGATATCACTAGTATAATATTTCAAGGGTGTGTCTATGTCATTGCAACAACTATTGTAAGTTAAGTTATAGCCCAGTGATTTCTTAATGTAGTCATACGTTTCTCAGGGAGATGGCAAACACCCACTAATTCATAGAATTTTGTTCATGTGTATACATAAGTATTTTACATACACAAATGTGAAGTGGGAGTCTATGCTTGCACATATACATTCTTTACAATTAATCAAGTTCACATTTTAAATGATTTGCTCATTCATTTAACATAACACACTTGACAATGTTACTTCATAACAAATATAATTATTTTTATTTCTGGCTAACATATCAGGTACCAATTACAGTGCAACAATCAATAAAATACATTATTAGTATACACTTTTTGTTACTGACCAATCATACATATCACTCAGCCAGATGAGACTACCCAACTGGTTTAATAATGGACCTGCTAAATAACTTCTCTTGATCTTGTTGTCAACAAGATCTAATATTTGTTAGGTCATTTATTGTTACCTTTGAAGAATATTTAATGATTGTTTAGATTCTGTGAGTCATAATGTGTTTGCTTTAGAACAGTATAATTCAGTGGTTCCCAATCTTTTCTCCACCAAGGACCCCTTTTATTATAATTTTTTCCCCCACAGAATCCTTGTTTTTGAAATATTCCGCCTACCCAACAAACTGTTTTTATTAACTAATAATTTTCTCATTCTCCTACTTTTTATTATCAAATAAAAAACATATATATAACTAAGTGTGCAATTAAAAAGAACATCAGTATTAAAAAAACTTACTTGTTTACTGAGATGGTATTACCTACGTGGACCCCAGGTTGGGAACCACTGGTATAATGGAAGGCATGCAGACTGAATGAAAAGCAAATCAAACAAGTCCCAGTAGTGAGTACTGGCAGAATTTCACCCATGGGTGTATGTACATAATTTCATAAAAAGTAACTTATTACCTTCATCCTCAGAGTCACTAATGAAGGTTTCTTGCATAGTCTCAGGTGATACGACCTTGTACTTTTCTTCTGTCATGGCGTTTGTAGTAGTTATAGTAGAATTTTCTGTAACAACCTTCAAAGTCTCCAGAACTGAGATGTAACCAAGACGGTTGGCAATTGACAATGCTGTTTGCCCTTGCTATTAAATCAGAGAGTACTCTTGTTATCACCAAAAAAATATAAAAAATTTCTGTTATCAACAGTGAATTTTTTGCTAATGAATAATACAAACCATGGCCTATAAAAACTGGGCCAAAATCATACTACATGACAGAAAGAAATACATGTACCTCTCACAGGCCATTTGTTTAAAAAAAAATACTTTAACACCAGTGAATAAAACAGTCAAAAGACATAGGACGATTCATCTAGTATGTTTTATTCAACATACTATTACTTACATTAGTCAAGGCATTAGGAGAGGCTTTGTGCTCCAGGAGAAGATTGATTATCAAAGTATGTCCCTGTTGTGCTGCTTGATGAAGTGGTGTGTATCCATGCTGGAAATAAAAATAGCCAACAATTCAAACAATGTAAGTGTGATTGATGAATCCTAATAATTTGGTTTTACACATCAAATGTTGGTTGAGTGGGTTTGACCTATAACATCCCTATTTTCATAATGACACATTTAGTTCATGAAACCTGTTTTAAATAATAAATGCTCTTGTTCCACCTGATTTAATTGCAGTGAATGACCAGTAAAATGCCAACATCATCCAATGACTTTGCAAGTTTTAACATGGCAAAACTGAGAAATATAAAAAAAAAACTAATTTAATATTATGTATAGAAACATAAATATTGCTTTGCATAATAGAAAGAAAGTTAAAGCATATATTGCTAAAAAACTTTAGTGTTTCAAAACATGCAGCTCAAAGAACATTACAACATTTTGCTGCTGTTGGAAGTTTAAAAGTCTAAGAAGAGGAAAGGACAACCAAGAAGATACTCAGATAATTTAAGAAGTACCAACATGGAACAATTAGAAACATTCCCACAAATACATGAAGAAGTACAGATTATGCTGGGAGTTAAAAACCGGTAACAGAACTACTTCAAGTTAGTTGCAGAAAAGTGGTCCACATGGAAAAGTTGCTGCTGAAAAAGCCTATATGTATTTCATGCTTGTAAATGGTCCAGCATTTAAACTTTAGAAAAGACCATAAAAATGATAACAGAAAGGACAATGTACTATGGAATGGAAAACAAAGACAGAACTTTTTTGGAAACTTTATGGGAGATTTTAGCACTGAGGTGTGACCATGAGAAGTTTAAGCAAATTTATGTAGTGAAGCTGTATGATGGTATGGTAGTGAAAGATATTACCAAAATTGCCAGTTTTAAGAATCAGAACTACAACATCCTCGTTCATCATGCAATACCCAAAAAAAAATATTTAACTGGTCTTAGCTTTGAATTTCAGCAAGTAATATGGTGAACCAAAGAGTAAACTAAGCCTCTAAATTGTTTTTCCATCACTGAAATTCACATGTTGGTGTAAAAAAATAAATTAACAATTGAATAAATAACCAGTTAGTTAACTGAATAAAAATGGATAATTGTGACAGTATATCACATGTTATCAAACATAAAGTATTTTAGGTTATTAGTATTGAGAGTTAATAATTATATGTCAAACCATACCCAAAACTTCATAGTTTCAAAGGCATTATACATATAATAAAAATTATCAATGTATTTTGTATTTAATGTTACCATATGGAAAAAAAACTCATCATTTGTCAACATTCAGAACTGAATTTCACAATCCTAATAATCAATATGCTTGGTTATGTTTTTCACAGAAAATTATAGAAAAATAGGAAATTTTTTAACTTCATACAAACAATACTGTATACATACCGATGTAATGGAATTCACATTAGTACCATGTTGCAACAAGAACCTAACCATGTTAACTTGACCAAAGTGACAAGCAACATGTAATGGAGTGTACCCAGCATTTGTTTGGGAATCAACAACAGCATCATTCTTCACTAAAATTGCTGCTACATTTACATGATCCTCTTGAGCGCAGAGATGAATAGGGGTAAGACCATTCTGGAAATAAAAACCAGTAAATTGCAGGATAATGAACATAAACATGTTTAGACACATATACTGTATGTTAAGTAAATAAAGAGTTACACAACTATAATGCAGACACTATCAATTTAGCAAAGTTGGACTCAAAACAAAATATAGCTACAACTTTATATGTATTGATGATCAATTAAAGCAGAAGCTCTCATAGGCGTGAGGGAGCCAAAAATTTTGTCGGTGTTTAAAATTCTGAACATTCATAAACAGCTCTTTCCCTCCAACTGTAGCATGAAACAAAACAAAAACGTGACCTATAAACCAACAATCAAGGCTGTATAGTTCAGATTTCTGTACAAAATATGGGACTGTCCCACCCATGCATAAAAGAAACAAAAAGCATAATTGTTAAAATTTTCATAAAATTACATAGACTTTGTTTCAAATATTATGAAAAACTATCCTCATCCAAACAATAATTTTTTAATTGCTTTACACATAGGCAATACACAATGTAAATATCTGTAAAAGCATTTTCAAACTAAAATTTTTACAAACATATAACTGATTACTTAATTTAAGCATAACTAGAGAAAAATATCCATGAATAATTTCTAGCTAAACAAAGAAACTTACCTTAGCTTTAGCATTCACATCAGCATTGTGTTCAATCAACAGTGTAGTCATGTGTGTATGTCCTTCCTGAGCAGCAAGGTGAAGTGGCATAAAACCAGCCTGAAAATGATGATGCAGAAATTCAGCAAGTCACTCTGAGAAGCATGTCTAAAACTGGTTAAGTAATCAAAGAAGCACTAAAATACTCATAATAAACTGAAAATAAGTTAAAGTATTTGGATATAAGCTACCCAGTTATTTATTCAAAAATGTAATTAAAACACAAACTCCCACGTATTAATAAGAGTTATAACAACCATTTGCTTGATAATATTTGGTGCTTAACAATTTTGTTGTTGTTTTTTTTTGCTAAGAGAGAAATGCTAATTATATAACAAATTATGATTGTTTTGTATATCAAGTTAAAATTACCTTGGATTCTGCAATGGTTTTAGCTCCATATTCCAGTAGACTCGTAGCAATATCCATTTGATTTTTCTTAGCAGCAATATGAAGTGGGGTGTAGCCATTCTTTGCAGCAGCATGAGGAGATGCTCCCTTTTCAAGCAATAGCAGTGCTACATTGGCATGGTCGTAATGTGCTGCCACATGTAATGGTGTTACACCATTCTGAAGAACATAAAATGCAAACCCTTTCACAACCATTTATTTTGTATGCCAAGTATAAATCGAAATCTACTTGGATACAGAAATAACTCTCACAGTGGATTAACATTTATCTCTTTATAGCTAATACTATTCATTTTCACACAATTAAACCAAGATTCCATGTTTTAATACACCTATGTAAAGCAATATAGCTAGAAAAGGAACAGAATAATGCACTTATACAATATATACAGTTAATAGCACTGAATTGTTATAACCTACATTTATATGCTTTATATTTTATTTAACTTATTGTGTGTGAAATATCTGAATTTGTATTTACAAACATTCTTATCTTGAAATATCCACTAATGTAGTAAGATCTTATATGAAGTATTATCTGAACATGATAATCGCCAGATCAGATCATAAAATGTTATGAGAGATACTAGCAAAACTTGCAATAAAACATTATAAGAAATTTATAATGTAATATAAAAATTTTTTACACTTAAAATTCTTTCTCAGTGGACAACAACCATTATTAAAACTGACTATTACAAAACTATTATTTGAAACTGAAACAACTTCACTTGCTACTTACCATATATATATTACAATGTGATATTCTTTTAATGAGAAAATAAATTTTACAGTTAAAAGTTCCACTACAAAAAATAATTACTTACACGAATTAAAAAGAAAATTAAAATATTCAAGTGTATTGGAACTAGTGGAAAACAGCACTTCAAATATTGAAAACCTTCAACTTAACATCTTTACAAGTTGTGAAGCCTAATAAAGGGCAAAATATTATTTTCATGATAATGTTATGGATGTAAAGAAATTACTATTATTTTCCCAGGAAATATTTCTTTTTGAAATATGCATCTTACTATACATGTGAGGTTTAGGTTTAGAATGCTTTTTGATATAAGTTTTTATTCAGTTTTTCTTGGATTAAATCAAAAACAAATCTAAATTCCTAACCCTAATTTTGATTTTTCTGCCCCCCCCCCTCCAAATTGTAATTTTTGTTTGTGAAGTAGATATATTTAAACTCAAGAAATGTTTTTAGCACTTTACTACAATTGGAGGAAGAATATCATCCATTACATAGTTATCAGGGTCACTTGCACCAGCATAACTGTCACTGCAATTATATTCGTCATTAACATGAAAAGCTTTCAGGGTGAGCACTAATTTATCTAGTGTCATCATAATATAAGTGAAATCTTTCTGAAGGGTTAAAGAAATACTGAGGAATTTGCTAGCTTTGTCTCTTTGCTGTATTGATTATAGCTATAATGTATGTGATACGTAACCTCTTTGGCTATGTTATGATCAGTGGTCAGGAATTTAGTTTGAAATATGTGTCATGGCAATGAGAAAATTTGATGTTTCTTAAACTGAAGAAAATAATTTAAAGGTAACTGGAACTTGTAGCTTTGATAAGCTAAAATCACTGTAATAAAATACTACCAGCAATACATACAAATCAGCAACTTGTATTCTGTTATGTAATTTGAAATGCAAATGATTGGTCATTCAGTCTATGTTCATAAATGTATATTTGGTAAAGGTGGCTTTACATCTTTAAAGTTCAAGACATTTCAACACAATATGAAATATGTGATAATCATGAACAGCATGACACTGACACTTCACACTTAAAATAAGTATAAATATGTTTCTGAAATATCCTCGATCATTCCACTGAAAGAGTTATTTCCAGAACATCTTCAAAACAGAAGTTACTTAGAATGTGACATGTCTTCTATAAGCATCCCATTCATGATCAATGGGCTTGAAATTTGACAAGTGTTTAGGCTAATACATTTGGTCAATCTTCTTTTCTTTAACCTATTCCAGCCTGGTAACTCTTGTTGTTGTTTTTATGAGGCCACTTGACAATATCAATTTAAAATTTAATTCTGTTTTATCTTTTTACAGGTTTAGAATTTTGTTTTGATATAAATTTTTGGGCAATTTCTTTGGTTTAAGTAATAAAAGAAATCCAAATGTCTAACCCTAAGTTAGATTTTTTTTGCTTGCTTCCTTTTGCAATTATAGTTATTTTCTAGGAGTAGAAATATTTAAACTCCAAAATATTTTTACTAGTTTAGCAGAATTGGAGGAGGCATATCATCCATTACATTGTAATTAAAGCCAAGCATACAACAGCACAAATAATAGTAAGATCAGATCCCAATGATGTGGAATTAATGGGCCAGAGCATGGCCTATTAGGTAGCATGCCAAATTGTAAATCCGAGGATCCAAGGTTCATACACTGTTGCCATAAATCTGTGTTTCTTGAGTTGTGTTATAAGACTGAGGGTCGATTCCCCGTTTGAATACAATAGCCCAAGAGTTGGTGACAGTGGGTGCTGTTGACTAGTTGCTTCCCTCTAGTTTAACTGTTCAAAATTATGGCTGGCTAGTGCAGATAACCTATTAGGTAGTTTTGTATGAATTTCTGAAAGAATCAACGAAACAATCATTCTGCACAATCTTTGATAGGTTGTTTAGGCAGAGTATTCATAATGAATCTAAGATGAAAGGAGGAAGACTTTCGAAACGTCGTCCTCTACATTTGTAGGTTTCTACAACAGGCAGTTTCTGTCCATTTAAAACCAAGATTCAATCATTCTGCATGGTATAGCATTTGATATTCTCATCAATGTTTATTCCTGCCCACCAACATGCTTCCACCAATTCGGTATGCATTTCATTCCTCTACGAAACTGGGGTTTCACCTGATTCCAGTTTGTTTCTCAATGTGGGTAAGTTTGTTACTCAATGAAGCATGTTACAACTGTAAAGAGAACAATGCTTTATATGTGATTGGGCATCTAGCATACAGGCTGGTTTTGTGAAGTCTGATTTAAACAATCTGTACACCAACACAGTTTCTGGGAGCACATATACATTGACTTTATGAGCACAAACTGACAGATAATAATTGCTTGCTTGCGTTGTGGATAGTGGTCTGACTTGTCCAGGTGTATGAGCAATTACACCATTGATAAATAAGCAGTTGCACATTTATTATAATGAAGCTAACTCACGACAGCCTGAAGAAACTACTCACTTTCTTTCATCTGATGGCTCTTCACACATGTGAAACTTATAAATATTTTCTCTGAAGTCTAGTTATGGTCCATGAGCAATTTGGAGCACTTTGAACTCTGTGATTCAATTCAACTCAAAGTGATAACTGAGACAATATTGTGGGAGATCACTTTATGTAGCTAGGCTGAATGACTAATTATCTGTATTTCAGATGACATGATTGATAATCAGCTATCTGATTTACTTATCAATGATGAGAGGGGATGACTAATGTTATTTCATAAGTGGTTTTGCTTTGTCAGAGCTGAAATATTATCTTTTAACTGTTCTGTGCATTGTGCTTTTGGAAGGAACAAAAAACAAATGTAGATGCTGGTTGAGGAGAGTAATATACATTATTCAACTTGATGGCACTAAGTTAATTGTTAACATAATTAAGACTCAAACTGATTTTCCAAAACCTCTCTCAATACTGAAATATCTGGAAATGTTTAACCCTATTGCCATGGGTATCCTTTAGTGTGCATGACACAAAGTTTTAGTGTCTTACGTTCAAAATTTTATTAAACTACTTTTTGTTCATGCTATACCAATTAGTATAGCATAAAATCTTAGCAAATAATCCATATTTTAATAATATATAAGTTTTAAGTTCTTAATTTTATAAGGCAATATTCAAAAAAATCCTGACTTTCCCTTAGTGTGATACATGTGACACATTTTCTCTAGGCATCTACTCTTCTCTACATCATCCACCACCCCTTCAAAAAGGATGAAATTAAATATAAATTACTCACTATAAAATCTTCATTGCTCAGACAAACCATAATTTTTATAGCTTTAAATTTTCCTTGGTTAAAGAGCTATCAAATAGAAAATCAGACCCCTCCTGTTCTCTTTTATGTTTAATTATATATTACCTATGACCAATAGAAAGCCAAGGTTTTCATCTATCAAATGATGCATTGTATAACATTGTGTTCTGAACAAATAAGCGTCAATTTCACTCAGAGTACAAGCTTTGTTCTCGCGGGAAAGTTAACGACTAGCTTGGATGAATTTGTAACAGCTTTTGTCGCATAATTAGAAAGCCAGAAAAATTTTGAGAGTTAGGAGAAATTGTCTACAACAGAATGAAATTTTCAACAGAAGAAATGCTCAACAAGGATTTGCTAAACAGAGCCAAGCTTACCTTTCCCTGAGCATCGACTGGACTATCTTTTTGGAGTAGAAGTCTTACTACATTAATATTTCCATACTTAGCAGCCAGATGAAGAGGAGTAAAACCTTTCTGCAAGTTGTAAAAAGTGAGAAAAAAATATAATACAAAGTTTGCTTATACATTTATCAACTTTAGGAAAATCATTTACGAAGTAAATCATATTAATCAACTGACAGGATAATATTTCTCTGACTTGCTATCAGATTTTAGGCATTTTTTTATTATCAAATCTAAACTGCTGAAATGAGCAAAGCTTTGTTTTTACGAATACTATGTTTAAAATCTGTGACTCAATTTTGGACCTATAAGTACAAATAAGCACTCTGGTGTACAAAATGTGCAAAGCATGGTTTCTATAATATTTAATGTCTGAGAACTTAAAAAGTAGATTTTTTTTTAACAGAGAAAAGCCTAAATGCAAGAGCAACTATACCTTGGTAACAGCAGTAAGAGATGCTCCATTGTCCAGCAACACAGAAGCAACCTCTTCTTGTCCTTCTTTAGCTGCAACATGAAGAGCAGTGTTCATGTCTTTGGTTGTGGCATCTACTTCTGCACCATTCTGGATCAGCAAACTGACAATGTCCACATTACCTAGCCTAGCAGCAATGTGTAAAGGTGTCTGATGTTCCTGGTAATACCATAAAAACATGACCATTACCACAATTTTGATGCCAAAATCACAAAAATATAGCACCCCCCCTAAAAACAAACAAACAAAAGTTTAAAAAGTAGAGGAGAAAGGCATAAATAAACTAAATAACATTATACACATATTAGTTCTTCATAAACTACAAAGGCATTTTAATTAGTAACACAATAAAAGATTATTTACACTTCATTTATTTAAGACCTTAATACGAGATCAGGAATTAAATGTTACCAGGAAAAACAAACATTTAAGGAATATTGTACAATGTTTTATTAAAAATTGCACAGCATGCAAACACATGAAATTACTCAACAAAGTTTAAGATATACATGATAATGAATATAAAATGCTTACTCTTGCTTTAGCATCCACACTAGCTCCATTTCTTAAAAGGATTCGAATAATGTCTGCTTGATTAGCTCTTGCAGCCAAATGCATTGGAGTTTCTCCCCTAACTGTTTGAATGTTTGGATCAGCTCCATGTTGAATCAAAAAGATGACAATGTTCATATTTCCCATAAAAGCAGATACATGCAGAGGTGTAAGACCAGACTGAGAAAATACATATGTCCAAATAAATAGTTGAAATTTTAATATTAAGAAAACAATTACTCTAAAATTAATGAAAACAAATATGTCATAAAAATGACAAAAAATAAAGTTTTACTGTAAAGTGTCTTCACTTCTTAACCAAACAAATTGTTACTACTTTGAATAAATATTTTTACTTGTTTACAATTATTTACAGTATAATATAACATCATACCAAGTTATTAACTATAATAAATGGTGATTTTTCAACTTCAGGATATGACCTAACAGGTTTTTGAAAACTGTTTCATGGTACAAAACAGATGCCAGTGCAAATAAGTTTCTGAATACTATCAGATTATTCATGGTGAAGGGGAAGATAAAACTACCAATCCAGAATTATGCTTTTTCTTTAAGTAATCTTACTACTTTGTTTACTGCAGCATTCACTTCATATGCTTATTCTTTAACAATTTCATGTCTGTTTACGGTTTTTGACAAGCCTTTTCAGTGCATTTATTTTCACATTCTAGACACTGCCTACTACTGAAAGTAAGCATTTTTAAAATTGTTTTTGAAAAAATATTTCATTATCACTCAGTTGTAAACACACCTCTGTTGTAGCTTCAATGGAGCCTCCGTACTTCAAAAGTAGTTCAACAACCTTAATTCTGTTCTTCTTACAAGCAATGTGAAGTGGAGTGAAACCATTCAAGGCTCTAGCATTAGGGTCAGCTTTACGGTCAAGAAGAAGTTTGGCTACTCTGACATGGCCACAGTGAGCTGCTACATGTAAAGCTGTGAGAAAATCCTAAAAAAAAAATAGTTGCCCTCAAAAATTTGATTTTCATTTTTTATCTCTGAAGCAGAAATAAAATGTTTAATTTGTGTAATATTATGATCCATAATAATTTGGAGACTAAGTCATGCAACATACATTTTTAGCAAACACCATGCATCACAAATAAATAATAATAAAAAAAAAACACGCCTGTCTTAAACTGAAGATCAGCTGTACCTAAAGTGTTTGCCAGGAATGCAGAGGTTCTTGTTAGAGATGAAAAAGAAAAAAAGCTAGAAAAACACCTATATCCCCACAACAAAATTTATTACTCTCTATGAGTGTTCAAATGCCAGATGTCAAAATGTTTAATATGATAATTTAAAACGTTGTGACATGAGGTAATAACTAAAATGATATATAGATGGCATTGTTATACTGTATATGAAGCTCAAAAGAAGTATGAATTAAGTAGTAATTTTTGTTATATTGAAGTAAGTAATTATTATTATATGAATTTTTAAAATTAAAGTTCAGATAAAAGTCTTCTTTGGATTAATAACTGTATCCCAAATTAAAATACTAAGAAGTGGCATAATTCACACTTTTACTGAAGATAAGCAAGCCCAATTAAAGGCTGCATTTCATAGTATAATTGTGAAGTTCAGGTGTAATGTTTCCAAATACAGAAAATGTCCACTCAATACAAAAAGTTCAAAAAACTGAAGAAAAGGTATTGCTATTTAAAAACTTAGCATTCTGTCACAAATAATAAGTTAATCATAACTTTCTTGAGAGTTAAAGTAGCATTTAAAACACCAATACAGCTTTTAATAAGTTTGGTTAATTATGCCCAGTTATGCTTATCCAATTTAAATCTGATATGTACATCAAATTTTAAATTTCATAATTAAATGTAATTTGTTATAGGTTATTATAACAACATTCTTCTTACACTGTTTTTACTGTTCAGGTCTTAACGGACCTGTTGATAGTAGTTTTTCACTTTTGATCTAGATACAACTTACAGTGGTAATACCTTCAGAATATCCTAACTATTATGAAAGACATGCAAGTTTAAAACCTTTTGACATATCACATACACCATGTAAGTAAAATGATATGATTTTTTTTAAAGAATAGCTGTATGTTTTATTTTATTTCCTTCTTACAAATATGAATTTTAATATAACAGTAATTATGAAGGATAATGATAAAAATGTAATATCTTAATTCAATTTAAAGTTGAATTTTATCAAACAATAACAAACTCTGAATTACTGAAATCATACTTTTAGTTTTACTTGTTTCATAGTTATGTTTAATAACGAACTAATGTAGTTGAAAACTTTTAAACATTGACATTACAAAATTAAAAGATAACCAAATTAATAAAGAAAATAAATAAAGTATAAGAAGCGTGGATTTGTTCCAAATAACAAATTCCATTTTCCATGATTCCCACCTTGAGAAAAATAAGAACTTAGAGTTGGCAGAAAAAAGGATACTGCACTAATCTGTTACCTTACACTATAAAAAAAAATGTCACTATATAATTATAGTAATGATAGTGAGTCAAACAGGAATGATAGTTAAAGATAGTTGCTAGGCCACCTGTAATATATGAAATAAGACAGTTATGTTTTCCATTGGCAGTTGGATGATCTCTTGAGGTCATGATCTCTCTTATGTTTCATTGAGATAGCACTAGTCTCGTTGGATAAATCTGAAATTAAATAGTTAACTAGATAATATTCAGCCTGGAACATGATTTTGTCTGAGTTAGTTGATTTACAACATCATGTAATGACTTCAAACCTAACTCTCCGGTAAAGACGACAGTGCATTGTGGCAAATAAATACATTTTTAACTGTATTTATTTGAATAAAAACTGTTTATTGTAATTGAACATTTGTGTTCAGTCTCTGTTTAATTTCCAAAACTCAGTTAGTCAGAGAAAATATAATTATGGTGCCACAAATATCTTGAAGAATCTCCTGTTATTCAGCAGATCTATCTTTTCATTTTTAGGAGAAATAGTGCTATTTTAAAGTACTACGTTAATAACACTTACTGCCAACTGAGGGCTTAAAAATCTAATATAAAGAAAGGACATACAAGAATAATATTAGACAGTGGGAAGATGTTAACAAAGGTTGGTTCAAAAAATCCAAAGATATATATTAAGAATTAAAATGTGTGTGTGTGTGTGTGTCATATCAGAATGTAAAGTACATAAAGAATATGCAGCCAAAAAGCCTAATACTTCACATGTGAATATGGCCAAGCAATTTAACTTTGAAAAGGACAACAAAATTTAGAAGAACAATAAAACAATGTATTATGAGGTGACAAAATAAAGATTCAGTTTCTTGAAAATTCTAAGGTAATTTTATATGGAGACACGACATTAAGAAGTATAATTAAAACACTGAAAAGTGTTGGTGGACTTCTAATGATGTGGGAATGTTATTCTGCTGCAAAAGTGGGAGATATTGTGAAACTTCAAATTATTATGAAGTTAGTGAAGTATCAACACATTATGGTATATAACTAAATATTCAGCAAGTGATGTTTAATTAGCTATAAGGTTAAGCTGGATAATGATGAAAAACATACTGATTATGATACCAGATGAAAAGTAACGTTGCAAAAAAATAAAATAAGCAACCAAATCTGTGGCAACTTTGGGAGATTGTGTAACGAAAAAGAAGATAAATAATATCAAATAGCTAACAGCATAAATGTCTGACCAAGGTCATCATGTGGTTTATTATACTAGATGAGGACCTACAGAAAATTGTTTATTTAATTCCTTTATGTTCCAAAAGACAGTTTTTATGCCTAATATTGTAATATTGATAATAAACTTAGCAAGAACTTTCAATAGTCAATAAACCCAAAATTCTGAATTAAGATATAAGACACATCCAGTAAATTACATCTTTTGGTTAAGTTGTGCTTTATGTTGTTGTTTTTTAAGGTCAATAAACAGCACTTTTATTCCTTTACACTGGTCATGCAAAACGTGTGTGAAAAAGAAAATCAGTATTATTTGCATAATAAACTTGTATGAATCCAATATAGATAAACATATTAAATTTATACATCCTTTTTTCATAAATAAGTAATAATAATAACAGCACAAAACAACAGATGAAATAGCTTCTACTTACAACTGTGACATCATCAACTGGAGCTTTGTGAAACAGTAATATTCTAGCACTGTCAACATGGTCTCCCTGAGATGCCATGTGAAGAGGAGCAAGTCCATTCTAAAAAAAGTTATTCTATTAGAGAACTGAAGATTAAATTTTAACTCATTCAATTAATAGTGAAAGAGCAAAGTTTCTAAAAAAGGCTAATTGAGAAAAGTTAGGAGTTTAGCTTAAGACAATTCTGAAAGAATGAAAAAATCTCTTCACAGTAGCATTTTCATTCTTATCAGAAATCTTAATGTGTAAGAAAAAAAAAGAAAGACATCTTTCACTTCATATGTTGAATGCTTATGTTATTTTTACATAGAACATTTAATAACCTGAAAATATATTCATACATTAATATTCTTATCAAATTGGTTCTCTTAACATTAGGAGCTCAAAATTCACAATTTGTCTGTTAAGTTACACTGCATCTCAGACTTCAATTATTAACACTAGCTTCACAGATTTTACAAACCTTTGTTTTAGCTGTAATTGGAGCACCTTTTTCAAGCAATAAATCTACTACATGATCATGGCCACTCCGGGCAGCACAATGCAGGGGTGTTAGTCCATCCTGAGAACATAAAATTTACTTTAAAATCTGGATAAAAATCTAATTATACATAAACTCATAAGGAAGCTAAACAGCACCCTGGGTACATGTAAGAGTGACATTGAATCCCTTAGGATGGGTGTTGGGTGCTGCTGATTGTCTGTCTTCTCTCTGATCAGTAGTTCAAAATTAGGGAAAAACAGCAGATAGCCTTAGAAGCTTTAGCATAAAAACAATACAACAAGTCGTTTCTTTTCAATTATTTTAACAACTGAAATATTAAACCTCAATCCCATAAGAGAGGTCACATAGCACATCTCAATTGTGTTTAACAAAAGATCTAATAATTAGATTAAAACATTGCTAGAGTGATAAAATGGCCCCATCTGCTAACAATACACATAGAGCTAGACATTTAGTGAAATTTGCTAACTGATTAATTAATGGTCCCACTGATTAGCTAATGCATAACAGTAATAATCAACTGTTAACCATTTTTTACTGTCATTTGTACACCAATTTCCTGTAACAAATTAACAGTATATGGTGCTACAAGTTTTCTTCCTCCTTCTCAGTACTTCACCACCACCATCGCCACCAACAACAAAATGGAAGTTGATGGTAGGTGCTCCAGACAGTTGCCTTCCCTCTGGTTAACAGTTAATTGGTGACAGTGACAGACAGCCTTAGTAGCTTTGCATAACAAAGACAGGGCAATCAAGTTTGGTGGTAATATGTTGATTGGGTAGGTGGAACAATCAAAAATAGTACTAATTGGAAACCCTAAATTCAAATAGTTGATTATTTTGGGGACAACTGATATAAACAGAATTTCAATTAATCGATTGTTGGAATAACCAAAAACAGTCATAATTGGAAACACTAATTTTGATTAGTTGATTTAATAATAACTTTGATTAACAGATTAGTTTACTGCTCATAGTAAATCAATTGTATCGATTAAATCACCCAGCTCTATGTAACATATAGTAACGGGGCATCATTACTTCAAGATTTTCACTCCAAACTTTGTCTAATTCTCATGCTTTCTGTATTAATAAAATAGATAAAATACTGAAATATGTGTAAAGGAATATATACTGTATAGATTAAACATAAAAAACAGTTCATGTTTTTTATCATTGATAAACTTCAAAATTAATTTAAATATGTTTATGTATAAAAAATAATAGTGAAAAACCACGTTTCACAATGAATAAATAAAAATAAGTTGCTTAACTAAGAATATGAGGAAATACTAAACTTACTCGTGTAGGTGAATCAATTTTGGCTCCTTTTTCTACTAGCAGTGACACCATATTTGCCTTTCCCCATTTTGATGCTACATGAAGGGGAGTTATTTGGTGCTGAAAAAAATATTTTTGTAAAAAGATATTATTAAAAGGTAGGTATACATTTACAAACTCAAAACTGTATTAAAAACTGATTAGTTAATGCATAATAATTATATACGACTCAGCCTATTTTTAATCTTGCTACCATTATATCACATTCCAGTGATGGTACATTTGTTGTACATCCCTTAAGACTAAAATTAAACAATTCTAATTAGTTTATAATATTTTGTAAATTACACAAACAAAAACCTATATATATAACCATATAAGAATTTCCAGTAGGTATTCAGTGTAACAACACTCATATTTTCAAGAAAGACTGCAAAATAAAAGTGTTGATTTGGTTTACAAGTTATATTTAAATCCAATATTACAGTAACAGGTGAAATATTTTTATTTTTGAAGGTCCTCCTTTAGCCTTAATAATGTGATGACAAATTAGATGTTTATAATGTTAAAATACAAAGTCTATACTTTCTTATGAATTAGATACTCAAATTACCGATACTGACAAGCTAGGATATAAGATGAGAACCTCCTATCTTTTATATTTTCTGAGATATTAATATATTTATTGAATCAACTAGGCCCCACTCACTGCTTCCATTTTTGAAAATACTTGCTTACGTACACCTACTTCGCCAAATGACATGAGTATAAACAATCAAAAGCTCAGAATGTCCCCCCTAGTGGTTTTCTCAGTCTCTCTGAAGTATTTGTGTGAGAAACTCTTTCTTTTCATGCTAGATTCCAAGTGGTAAGGTGAGACATTAGTGAGCTCAAAAATCATATTTTTTTAGACCCAAATATAGCTTGATAAATCATAGTGGAATTCTGTGGTGTTGATATAGTAATTTATGATTTTTTGTTATTTCAAAATGCATATATATAAAAAAACCACAAAAAAATTATTTTGTTTTACATCCTCCACGTGTGAAACTTGATAAGGCTTAGCAATTTACAGCTAGCAGCAAAGGAGTACAAAGTTTGTAACAAGAAGAGATACTTGTTTTCTATACTTCTTTATTTACTGTTCTATGTTTTAAGAAAAGTAACTGAAACTTGAGAACTTATTTTTGAATAGTAAAAATGTATATACATATATAATGTATTATAACCGAAATATTAACATATTTTACAAAATACTGTTTCACTAGAACACAGCCAAGCCAGGTCACTTTGTAAAGGCCAGTTTTATATTCTTGGATACAATAACAATAGTGCACATGTGCCGCGTCATTGCAACTTCTGTAATGTTAGTCAGGCATGGCTGAAAGGTTGATAAAATAAAAAATAATAAATATATATATAGATGTATAATGTTATGAGATTTGAGTCATTTAGACTAAACATTTGTGTTTTTGTGTTATAATTTGTAGTCATTCTAGAATGAAAAAAAAAGCATAATTTATAACTATTTTCTAATTCTTTTATGGTGGGTTACAAGGTCAGTCAAATTGAGCAAACCCTTACAGAGATACAATAGTGAAAATAACAGGTAAAATATAGTTTTTCTAAAAAAAAATGTTTGATAATTATCTGGAGGTTATAAAAATTTTGCATGTGAAATTTGAAAGTTTTCTGATGCATAAAAGTATTTTTAATCCTAAAATCCAAATTACTTTGAATGTTGGATAGTCAATATTCAAAAAGAAAAAATGCATGTGAAAAACATTATTTAAAAAATCTTAAAACCTGATAAAAAAATCTGATATTTTCATAAGAAAGCCTTGTAATGTTTACTGATAATCTGCAAAATTTTGTGAGGATATGCTTACTGTATTAAAAGTTATAGCACGAAAACTATAACAAACATAAAATGGTTACGAGGTCGGTCCCTGAGACTGAGCCCATAGCAAGAGAGTTAATGATCATAAATAAAATTTTCAAGTCTTAATATATGATAGTTACCTTGGCAGTGTAGTTAATATCTGCACCTTTTTCAAGTAGAAGAGAGCCAATACTTTCATTGCCATAATGAGCTGCAATGTGGAGAGGTGTAAAGCCACTCTGAAATTATATAAAATATATAAGTGAATTAAAATTTAGTAGCTATACTACTTGAGAAACTAAGAGAGAGATAAATATATAAATACAATTGAAAACAACAAACTTATTTAATTTACAGAAAAAAATGCATTTTGTTTGAAGCTGATCAACAGTCTAAACACACTTGACATGCTCCAAATTTTTTTTTCCAATTCATCTTCAGGACTCGTGAACTTTTTCATGTAAACTAAAAGAGGTTGTTGTTTTCAACAGTACTTATTTAGTTAAGAATTAAAAGAAGTGTCCAATAAAAATTTTATTTTAAAGTGAGAGGAGTAACATATCTTTACAAAGGATGCAATAGGTCTGAGTTAATGAGAAAAAACATTTTTGAACATATATAAAACTTGACTAAAACTAACAAGAGCTTTCAACCATTTGCTGTATCTTTATTATTAGAAAATTATAGTATATACCACTACATAGCACTGAGTATGTTATATTAAAATGATTTTGAACCTGCAAATCAGCAAGTCACATATTGTTTGATATCATAACCAATATAACGCAGTGGTGAGGCAGATTATATCAGAACTACATTTTGACATTGTTTGCTATTTTTAGGTAGTGTAATAAAGATACAACAAACAAAGATATGTGATAGCCCTTTCAAACACAAAATATTCATATACATAAATCATAAAGATGTGTTCAGAAAAAGGATTTAGAGTTTCAAGACTTTTTGTGCTTAATGGCATTGGAAAACAAAAATATAGATCAACTATGTGCACCAAAACTATCTAGAAAAAGGCCTATAACAAGCCTTACACCAGCCATAATTGGTGAGCATCCATGAATACCAAGGTCAGTAGCAAAAGCCATTCATGTGCCCTAGACAACAGTACACAACATGACCATGAAGGATCTCCACTTTGAAAGTGAGAAATGTACACAAGTTAGTTCCACAACATATCCAATCAATTGTCACATACCTCAAGCATCTGGAGAATAAATGGGTATTCATGATATTCTTTATAAAGATATTTCGGTCACATTGTCAGATGCAGCACCTATGGGTTTCCGTGTGATCACACTATTGAAACAATGCTGGAAAACCATCATTCTGATACAATAAATGGCTTATGTAAAGCAGCAGAGAGGGAGAGTTTATTAAACTTCAGAGCCTAACGACAGGGCCTTTTAAAATTGAAATTACACTTAGGGTTACTGTTGATATGCAAGGCCATCAGACAGAGTATGACTGGACATGGTAACATGGACTACAATAACATAGTGAGATTCCAAAATAGTTTTAATATAATGTACTCAACCTCTATTAATAAATTTTAGAGATCCCAGAAAATGCAGGTACAAACAAATCATATTTTTTATATTCTATACACATAATGAAACTTAAAGGTCAATATATGTATGACATGCCCTGTTATTACTAATGGTCTGCTAACTTCACGCTTCATGGAACAAATTTGCAATTTCATTAAAACCTACTAACCTGCTACCAAACTGTAAGGAGACAAGTATAAGACTCAACCAATGTGGGATTTTATGTTCAACCAGTAACATCTGAAAATTTCACTTACGTATGGTCTCCATGGAAGTCACATCTGCATGTAAACTGTCGTACTCCTCCAGTAAGAAGCAGCTACAGTTTATACAGTATCTTCCTATAAGATGTTGAACTTTCTGTCACTACTCAGGAAATTAAACAAGCCCTATAAGACAATCTATCACCATAATATCCATGATGTTAGAAAAACATGTAGGTTCAAGAAATCTTGATAGAAATGAATAAAAGCCCTATAACCCGAGCGCTTTTCGAAAGGTGGACCTTTCTTCTTCAGGAGCAAACTGGGAATGGTGGTGTAATCGATTGAGTGATATATATATATAAAGGGAGTTTAGTGACATCATGAAAGTAATCCGGTTTTCCAGGAAATGTTTATTCTATTTCTCTATGTACTGTTATAAGCATCTCATTTCTGGTACAATGTAGCCAATGGCGAGAGTGCATGGGCAAAGGTGTTAGGGATATTTTACTTTAGAAATGGCTAAATACATGTATATTTAAAACTATATTTAAGTGTTTAAGATATCTGGATATCTTAAAGCTTGTTTGATTGTGCTTGTCAGAAAACAAGTTAGTAGTTTTTATGAACTTGCAGATTTGACAACTGGCTTTTTTGCATGGACAACAACCATTTTTGAGTGGGATGTAATTCACTTTTGTGTGAACAAGGATATATTTTAGAGTTCTGCTTTTTTAAAAGGAGACAATGGGAACTTCTGGAAATATGTGTTTAAGATGATCATTGAGCTGTAAGAGATGAAAATGTTTTTTCAGAATTTGTGAAACATTTCCGAGTTTAAACTGATAGGTAATAATAAGAGGAATTCTATTTGAAAGTTTAGTATTGTTCTAACTTACGATGTTTTTCCACAGAGTGTTGTTAGCCTTTTCAATTTGTCTGTCGATTTTGGTATCTTTATATCCTCTTTCTAACATGTTTTGTTTTAGATCCTTGGTGTGTGTTTTCTGTTTCATCTGAGCATATTTTCTTTATTCTAAGAGCTTGACTGTACATAATGTTTTGTTTAGTGTGAGCTTGGTGACAGCTTTTATAGTGAAAGTATTGTGGTCTGTCTGTAGATTTTTGTATAAGTCAGTGTGTAAAATTCCATCTTTTAGAAAACAGTGATGTGAAGAAAGTTAATTTGGGTAGGCATGTAATTACAGGTAAACTTGATTGTTTTGTGAGATAAATTCTTTAAGTGATTTATGACCAGGTGTCCAAATGAAAAATATGTCATCTATGTAATGTTTCCATGTATGAGGTTTTACAGGGCTTAGTTGAAAAAGCTGGTTTTCATGATCCATGAAAATGTTGGCATAATTGGTAGCCATTTTGGTACCCATTGCAGTACTGTTAACCTGAATGTAATGCTCATTATTGAATTTGAGGTTGTTCAGAGTTAAAACCAGGCTGGTAAGATCAGTTACTGTTTGAGATTTTGATTGGTTTAATGTGTACTTTAGAGTTTGTAGTCCTTTATCATGTGGAATATTAGTGTAAAGGGAAGAAACGTGCATCGTGCAAAGAAGACTGTTAGGTGGTAACTGTCTGTTAGTATTAATATCTTCTATGATGTTAAAAAAGTGAGTAGCATCCTTTATGTAAGAGGGAAGGGTACAGGGAATACATTTTATGTGTTGGTCAACAAAATCAGAGAAATATTCGAAATTATGGGTCGGCCAGAATTGCTTCATTTGTGTATTTTGGATAAGAGATAAATTCTATCAGGAAAAGCTTGTCTGGGTATCAAACTGAAAGGTCTCTTTGTTAATTTTATTGTTTCGGAGGAGTTCTATGGTTATAATAAACAGTTGTAGGATCATGTGAGACTGTTTTGTAGAAATTAGTGTCCTCTAGTTGCCGGTTAGCTTCCATGATATAGTCATCTTTGTTAAGAATAACAATAACCTCACCCTTGTCTGCTGGCTTTATTATGATATTGTTGTTCGATTAAGATTGTTTAGAGCAGTACTTTCATTTTGGTTAATATTATTAGGATATTGCTTGGAAGATTTTAAGGTCGGTATTATGTTATTATGTCATTTTCTACTGCTTTAAATACAACTCTCTAAAGCACAATCCAAGAAACTTTAAAATATCCAAAGAAATCACTTGTGAAACAAAAAACACCATTTACCTTATACAGTGTAACAAATGCATTCGCCAATATGTAGGACAAACACAACAACTCTTAGAGAACGTTTCAACAACCATAAATCTTCTATTAACACTGAAAAAGATCTCTCTGTTTCTCAAC